CAAAAATAAATTGATTTATTTGCTAGTAAAAAGCATAAAATACAATGGACCTCAGTGGATGTCAGTAAACTTGGGAATGAACAACTGGTCAAACACAAAATGACTACTCAGAGTTCCTACAAGAAATAATCATATCATAGTGCTCAGATTAAGTACTGGCCACTTTCATATTCCAGCACTGATCCCCTTCCAGTATTAGGTTTTATACATATGTGTGTGTGCATATGTGTAGCTGCTCATCTTCAAGGAAAACTGATCAAAAGGAAATGGATTTGTATAACAGTAAGAGAGATATTACATTAAAGAAGTTTTAATCAGTGATTTTGAGTGAGAGGCATTGTAGAGAATTGACTTTGGAGTGAGGGATCCAGGTTCAGATCTTGCAACTGACACAAAGTATCTTTGTCACAATGGACAAGTCAGCAACAATAACAACAACAGCATAATCTGAATGGCAAAAATAAGACCCCATAAAGAAAGAACGGTGTAAAAAAGAAGTGATTTTATTTGTTTTTAGCCATCAACCATTATTTTAAATTATTTCATTAGACTACAACCAGACCTTTTACATGACTTTGGCTTGAGTCAAGAATTAAACTGTTGCTTTCTTTTTGTTTTCCATATAATTTCACCAAGGAAGAGGGGCTGAATAGTAACAGATACCCTACCACTGTTAAGAGTCCAACTTCAGTTCTATTTGAGAAATATATGGGTGGAATTCATACTATCCTCTCTAGTGTAAAACTACATATTTTTTTCCACGCTGAGAATTTATTCTTTAAATAAAATGTAGTAAAAATGTTAATTTAGCAGCTATACCATAGTTTTAAGTATTATAATTGCATTTTTCCCCCTTGTATGTTTCTTTTCAGTTCTCTGACTTGTCTGGAAAATGAACTGAAATCGTATCTCTTGGAAACAGAGTCATCATAATCTCAATTTTTTTCCCCATGTAAATTCTGAAAGCCTCAGATGTTACTGTTATCATCACTTAGCTGATCATTCCTTCTGTGTGATAATTCAAACTCAGAAATTAAACTCTAATGATAATTTAAAAAGAGGTGTGATTATTAACCGACTTTTAAAATATTACATCTACTCAATGATTCAATGTACATTTTACCAAAAGGGATATACAGCCTAATTGAAATCTCTCCTTTCTAGTGCTAATTTGGTCCAAATATTACGCATCTTTTAGTTAGAATATTTGTCATATATACAAGCTATTGCTAGTGATGTGACCTATCCCATTGACATTATTTTCATCACAATATTGAAAAAAGCAATTTCATGTTGTAAGACATTTCACTCCTGCAAAGGAAAGAATTTCAAGAAGTGATGAAAAAGGAGGAAAAATTAGACAGCCCAAAATGATGAAGGTTTGTCAAAATATCCCTATATTTTGTAGAAATATTTTTAACATAGCTGAGTAAAAACAGTTGTTGAATATACACATACATATGGATATACCCATATGTGTGTGTTTGTGTGTATACATACATATATATATATATATGCACATATATCCATATATATGTGTGTGTACATATATATATCTTTTAAAAATTTTGTTTAAAAGTAAACTTTTCACTAAATTCATTTATTCACATAAACCCTCTACTTCTTTTCATCATTGATGATCACAACATATTCAACCTTATCAGAAACTATTTTTGAAAAACTCTTACCTAATGCCTAAAAGTACTTTTAGATTTTAATGGCTGTGTGATCACATTAATGTGGGTACTCCCTCTAACAATGGGAATCATAATATATTCATGTCCTTTCATTCTGTGTAACTCTTGTCCATGTCCTCACATAAATCTTCCACAAGGAATTCACCAACACGAGGCCTCCCTTTACTTCACTTGACTTTGTGTAGATATCAAAAGAACATGGGAACTACCTATAAATTATCACTCCCTCTCAAGACAGCTAAAGACATCTTTATTTTATGGCAAATAAACTATAGCCATTTCTTGGTAAATCTTCCATTTTTGCTCTGTTAATTTAAGATAGCATTGAATACAGATCGTTGCTTATTATTACTGTACGTGCATATGTGTGTCCTATTAAAATTCAAAAATAACCAAAATTGTTTGCAAGCAATTTATCAGTATGACTTAGAGGAAAGAGTACTGGAACTGAAGTAAGGAGACTTGAATTTGAAAATTTGGGCTCTGACACTTTAGTGTCTTGATTGACCTTAGATAAGTCATTTATTTCACTTAAACTGTCTTTCCAAATTTATTATGGATCTTTTAGTTGCCAAATCCAATGGCCCTTTCTCAATCTTCATTCTCTTTTACCTCTCTGAAGTCTTTGACACTGTTGATCACTCTCTCCTCCTTGATAATCTCTTCTCTCTTGCTTTTCAGGGTGCCACTTCTTCCAGGTTTTCCATCTACCTATCTGACAACTCCTTCTCTGGATCCTTTCCCAGATAATGCCCTCCAACTATACCTGTTCCTTAGGGTTCTGTCCTGGGACCTCGTCTCTTCTCCCTATATGCTACTTTGTTTATTTGGTGATCTTATTAGCTCCTATGGATTTAATAAATATTTATATTTAAGCCAAAGATTCTCAATCTACCTTTCCTTCCCCAGTCTCTTTGTTGATCTCCAATCTCACATATCCAACTAACTTTCAGACATCTCAAATTAAATGCCCAGTAGGCATGTTAAACTCCATATGTCCAAGAAGAACTCAGAATTGTTCCCCCCAAACCCCCCCATCCCACCTTTCCTATTACTACAGAGTACAACACCATCTTCGCAGTCCCCCAGCTTCCCAACCTAGGAGTCATCTCACCCACCATATCCAAGCTGTTGCCAAGGCCTATCAATATCACCTCTGCAAGATCTATCTGATAAGCCTCCTTTCTCTCCACTGCCACTGCTGCCACCACTCTAGTACAGGTCTTCATCACTCCATCCCCTAATTACTCCAAGAGTCTGCTGGTGGGTCTGTCTGCCTCAAATCTTTCTGCACACCAATACATTCTCCATTTAGCCACGTAAAATGATTTTCCTAAAATAGCAGTCTGTTCACATCACCATACCCCATTCCCCCCAACCTTCTCTACTCAATAGACTTCAGTGGCTTCCTACTGCCTCCAGAAGCAAATACAAAATGCTCTGTTAGTTATTCCACAAACAAGAGCACTCTTGGTTACAGGTATTTTCTTTGGCAGTCCTCCATCCCTGGAAAGTTCTCCCCTCTCCATTCCAATGACCATCCCTGGCTTTCTTTAAGTCCCAGTTAAAATTCTACCTTCTATAAGATGCCTTCCTCAAACCCATCTTAATTCCAGTATGTTCTCTCTGTTAATTATTTCCTATTTATCCTGTATATAGCTTGATTCCTATATGTTTGTTTACATGTTGTCTCCCCCATTAGATTATAAATTCTCTGAGAGCAAGGAAAGTCTTTTGCCTCTTTTTTATATCCCCATGATTAACACAATGCTTGGCATACAGTAGAGGTTTAACAAATACTTATTGAACTGAATTGAACTGAACACATCAGAAGCTTAGTTTCCTTGTTCTATTTCCATCCTAATGTCATTCTGTAGAGAGAATTTTATGAAACTTCAAGTTCCATGGACACAATGACTAACGTCATTTCACAATATTAGATATTAAGAAAGTTGAATTGTTACAGCTAGATGATTAAAGTTAGGGAAGGGAGAGCTGGAATATGTTCTATCTGAGATCTGTGACATTCTGTAAGTTTATGCATTGACAAATATGAACTTTGACTTAATTATAACCACTTTGAACTCATTATATATGTAAATATATATATATAATGATTTTTAATGAATTATGTTTTTCTTCTTTTTTTAAAATCAATATGTTGAAGAGTAGAGTTCAAAAATTTAGAGGCAATTTTAAGCTCTATAAGGAGCCTAACTACTGCATTTCTCACTACTCCACTTCTAAGGTTATTCTATCAATACACAAGCATTTATTAAGTCCTTATCATCTGCTAGGCACTATGCTATCAAACTTAATTTTTTGAGTTATATATAAATCACACCAGGTTTGAGATTTTCACCATCAGCTCATTTAAAAAATATTTTAGAAAAGTAATTAATAATTTGTTTTTAGTGAGGGAAAAATCACATTTACATTCTCCATTTCTTGCCAACATTAACAGCTTATAGCTTTCAGATGTAGTTCCATAAAATAGATACATAGACATGCAACAGAAAAATTTAAAAATTTCAATCAGTAAAAATAATTATAATATGATTTTAACACATTTTAACATGATTTTTAAACAAAGAATGGCACAGCGTTCAGTGTATTTAACTTGGAATCAGGAAGTCCTGGTTTCAGCTTCAAAATCTTAATAGGTCTGTTATCGTAGCCAAGATATTTAACTTTCCTGACTCAGTTTCCTGATTTGTAAAATGAGAATAATAAAAGCATGTAATTCATAACGTTATTGTGAGGGTCAGATGAGAACATTTTCACAAAGTGCTTTGCAAACCTCCAAGAATTAGTCACATCATCATCACCATCATTAGTAGTATTAAAAAATCATAATTTAGCTTTGAGAAAAATTACTAACACCTAGAATTAAGAGAAGTATCCTATAACCCTCTTCTATGCTCTGGCTTCCCTTAATTCAGTCCCTACATTTTACTTATGGTCTTCAGAAACCAGAGCAGGAGAACAAAAACCAGATAGGCCAGGAGCCCCAAAATGTGGGATTGTGGTCACAGAGACAAACAGAAGCAGCAAAAAAGGATTTGTGGAGGAAATGGCTCTAGGGAGCAAGAAAGGCAACAGTACTTGATGATGATGATAATGAATATGTGTACACATTGGATATACATGCATGTTCACAAGTTTACATGACAAACACAGCAGCAGATCTCTCCTACTGCTACAACTTAACAGAACTTTTAAAATAGAGTCTTTTGTAATTAATTAAAAGAATAAACATTTGGAATATGAGGTGAGGAGGCATTCAAATTAATTATTTCTTACCTTGATAAGCAAGTTTAAATCCTTGCCTGTTTTGAGAATGATCACTATAAAAATGGATGAGTGTTTCATGTGTTGTACTTAGCAAGGCTGATGGGATATCAGTTCCACTAAACTGGCCAATCATAGGACTGGTATGAAAAGGTCCGTTTTGAATTTCAAGATAGTCATGATTAGCTTCAGTAGAAAAATTCAGAAATTGAATATGTGCACCTATAAAAAGAAAATGTAAAATCAGTAGATAGAACATAAAACATAAAAATGCTTAGTGTCTCTAAATGACACAAAATGACAATCATCTACAGATTTAATACATATTCACATTCTTATGCACAAGTAAATAAATATATGTATGTGCATATATATACATACAAATATATATACATATGAAACACAGTTGCAGATGGAAATGACTGAAAATAGGTCAACACATTATCTAAAAAGAGGAAGTACTTAACAGCCATTCAAATGCTACTAAAATGTCAATTCATTTTTAAAGGAGGTCTATTAGTAATGCAAATGTTCTAGTAACTTCAATTTGTATTAATCATTATAAATAAGATAACGGACCCTACTAGACTTTCAGAACTCCACATGCTTAAAGGCAAATAATTTTAAAATCTTTCCTTGATCATAACATTCAGCCAAATCCATCAGAACAATTCAACTACACATTAAAGAATTTCCAATAAGTGATCAGTGCTTCTAAGTGTCTGACTGCAGTGCTATGTGGTAACCTGGAATTCTGTAACTATAACTTACAATTTCAAATGAAGTTTGCAAATTTTTAAACTTTTTATAACAGAAAACTCAGATTAGTTCTATTGACAAAGAACTAAGTTGAAAAATAGCTTTTCCTTTCATGCATATTTTCCGTTGAAGATTAGAGACTTAATTTTATTCTTTTAGCCATGTGACACATCTGTCAAATAGGAGAAGTTAAGTGGAACAGAAAATATGCTTGTAGTTTTCATTATAATTCATAAACTTGTTGACTGGATGCATAGAAATATTTAGTTAGAGCCATATGAGTGGAAAATTTCACAGAAACAAAAAAGTTTATTGGAAAGGGAAGTAAGAAATTCTATTAGAAAAGTCTGGAAGAAATAAAAAAAAACAACTGTTCATTGAGAACAGAAGTAACTGGGAAAGAAAACACACACAATGGGACAAATGAGAGATACATGTGGAATAGTGGTGGAGCCTGTCTGGAATGTAACATAGAGAGCAAAGTGTAACTTAACTGGGACACAGTGTTAAAAAAAAAAACCTAGGATTTAAAGGATGATTGCAATTTATAATTAGTATGATTTCTAGGGAAGTAACTTTCATATCTGGACCTCAGTTTCTACATCAATATAGTATTAGACTAAATGATTTCTAGATCTAACATGTTATGATTCCTAACAGCTGACGTTACTACAGTGCTTTAAGGTTTACAAAGAACAACCACTTTAGATAGTACAAGTATCAGTAGATACAGTTTACAAATGAGAAAACTGATGCTTAGAAAGTTAAGCATGTACCCATAGTCACACTGTCATTAATTATCAGAACCAAGATTTGAACTCTGGTTTCCAGACTAAAAGTTCAGAGTTTTTTCTGTTCCATAATACAACTTTCTAAAAATTGTCACAAGAACAATGAATGGGGTCCATATTGCCTTTAAAAATATATTTTTTTCAAATTAAAACGTATTTATAGTAAACCAAGTATAGTAAGCATTAGGACAAGACAAAAGGGAAGTGAAATATCTTCTTTTAGTATCCAGTGGCCTAGAATGAAACCAAGGAAAAGAAAAGGGAAGAAGAAAATCTCTGCTCAATTCCAATACTCATTATCATAATGAAGGGGAAAAAAGACTCCTAAAAATCAACTATTACTTTGAATTTATTTTATATTTCAGAGACAGTGAATTTTTCAGTGGTCAAATAGTAATGAGTACACTGCCTAAATTCTAGAACTTTCAGTTGGTCATAAAAGTACAACATTCACATATATGTGTAGATGTGTGTGCATAGTATTTGTGCAATTTTCATATATGTGTATATAGCATATTTTATATATATGTATATATATTTATGTGTATGTATATATTTTGGGAACTATTCTTTATAATTTAGTTCAATTCTATTACATTAAATTTAGTTTAGTGTTCTATAGATTATCTTTCAGAATGTTTACAGGACACAAAGTCTTCTTATGTGAAATCATGCTCTTTGCCCAACAGCTACCAATAATAGGCAATTTTTTCACAATTTCAATAAATGTTTGTGCTCAGGGTAAAAATGATGGAAGTATTAAATGAGAGAGTAATATGGGTTCTCTTGGATTCCTCACTTCTTACGCACTACGTAATATTAGCCACAAGACTGTGCATGACATAAAAAGTAGATGACCACTTACAACAGTACATTCTCATATCAAATCCCTCCAGTACCCCTTTCATCCAGATCATCTATTGCCAAACTAAAATAGTTTCTTCCTTTTTTCTTTCTTTATTTTTTGTGTAGCATGATGCACCCCATATCGCTTAGAAAGACATTTTGTCAGTAACAAGTGACCAGCTTGAAAGAATCAAATTCAATTTGGAAGAACCACTGCTACAAGAGCTTCCAAAATCCATAGTCAGCTGAACTTAAATATATCTAGTGACTCTTCTCTATCCCGCAGAATAACCAACAACCATAATTGTTATTATACTGAGTTACAGTGAAAGCAGCTACTGTGCCAGTCCAGGACAATGAAGATCTAATATTTATTGTCAGTATGGGAAAAGAATTTCAAGAGAAGAAAGGAAAGAAGCATTTATTAAGTGCCTGTGTGCCAGGCACTGTGTTAAGTGTTACAATATTACCAGTTATGATCCCCAAAACAACCCTAAGAGGTAGGTCATATTATTATCCCCTTTTTACAGTTAAGGAAACTGAGACAAAGACAGGTTAAGTGACTTGCCAGGGTCATATGATAGTATCTAAGGCTAAGGCCACATCAAATTCAGGTTTTCCCGAACCTAGGCCCAGTACTTACTTTATCCACTGCACCACTTAGCTGCCTAAGGAGAATGCAGAGAAGTAATGCTATAATGAGAAGCAGAAAGCTTTAAAAACAATCTTTTCGAATCTGAAAAGGTCATGCTAATAAGCACTGGAATGGTCTGGTGCATATTAATATGAAGAATACTGGCTTTTAAGTTATAAAAGCCTGTATTTAAATCCTAGTTTTACGACTAACCAGCTGTATAACCTTACTAACCAGCTGTATAACCTTACGACAATTTAGGAATAAATTCCCTAACAATTAGACTTTTCCGAAGAACAGGGCTGCCTCAAAATGATGCTCTCCTCCTCCTTGGAGGTCTCTAGAGAACAATTTTCTTCATCCACAGAACCTGGATGACCACTTCCTAGAGGTATTATAATGGAAATTTCTTTTGTACGTCAGTTTGACTAGACTGCCCATGAGATCCCTTCAATTATTATTTTCTGTGATTCTGTAACATTACCTCCTTAGTCCTCAATTTCCTTACCTGTAAAATGAGAATGTTGAACTAGATTATCTCTATGGTCCCTTCTAGTCCTAACACTTTATTACTTTGTGAATCTACTAAAAAAATCTCCTTCAACCACTGACTTATTTCTCCTTTCCCACAAAATGGAAATGTGACAGGGTGAAATTTATAAACTTGGTACTACTTTGCAGCAATAACTAGAATGTCAAACTATGCAATTAACATATTCAACTATTTTATTCCACCTTTTGAATAAAAACAAAATTCTGCAAAAATGTCTTAAAATGCAAAGGTAAGCTGGAGCTCATTCTGAGTACTTGCAGATGCAGTCTTAGCAAGATGTAACACATACTCAGATTCAGAACTCCAAATCCAAGGAGGAAAGCAGGAAAGAAAGAGATGAAAAGCAAAGTATTGAGGGGCTAAAAATATTCAGGTCAAGTCTTGACAATATAAGATGCAGTCAAAATATCTATTACAAATCCCCTAAACTGGAAATGGAAAACCAATCATAAGAACTCTATGTTATGATGAAAATAAGTACCAAGAGCAAAACTGCCTTTACGCATGACAAATTTCGGAGGCAGCATGGTACAATGTAAAAAGTGCTACATAGGAGTCTGATGATCCCAGGTTCATACTCTTGTCTCTGCTATTTATTCCCTATGTTGACCTTGGGTAAGTAACACCTTCCTCTGCCTTTTTTTTTCACATACAGAATGAGAGTATTGGATATGATGCTCTCCAACGCCTGTCCTAGCTCTAAGTCTGATAATCTAGTACAAACAAAGGGATGGACGAGAGAATAATCTTAACCCACCCAAGCCAAACTGAATCCTTGTTGCTTTCTAATTCTTTAGACTTGCAGCTAAGTGGCCCAGTGGACAGAATACCAGCCATAAAGTCAGCAGGGCCTGAGTTCAAATATGTCCTCAGACATTGTCTCTGTGACCATGGGCAAGTTACTTAACCCTGTTTGCCTCAGTTTCCTCATCTTTAAAATGAGCTGGAGAAGGAAATGGTAAACCACTCCAGCATATTCACCAAGAAAACTCTAAAAGTGGTCACAAAGAGCAGATGCAGCAGCTGTTTCCAGAGCTCTTAGATTACAGATGGTAAAGGGGTTGAACAACTGGTCAGAAGGAGATTATAGGAGCCCCTTTGCTGGCATTGGAGAAAGGACTCTGTTGATTTGCCCATACTCGGACCCAAGCTGCAGTCCTGTTTGGCAGTTCCAGGGTGAGGAAGAGCACTAGCACATCAGAGCTTGTGGCCACAGTGTAACAGGGACCCTCATCACAGTTCCAGGGCAGAAAAGAGTGTTTGTGATCACTTATAGACCAGAGCATAATCCAGGAGAGGAGTAAACACACCTCTCCTTAGATCACACCACCTTGGAAAAACTAAAAACTTACAGGTCCTTAGAAGTATCTCTGAAAACACCTGCAAAAAACCCCTGTAGCTTGGGATAGTGTACCCGCCACCACAGAAGCAGAACCCCACTTTAGCAAAGACTTAAAAATTGAGAAATAGGCTGGGAAAAATAAGCAAACAACAGAAAAATTCTGATCACTGAAAGGTACTATGGTGACAAGGAAGATCAAAACTCACTCAGAAGCAAAGTCAAAATTCCTATATCCAAAGCCTCCAAGAAAAATATGAGTTGATCTCAGGTCACAGAAGAGATCAAAAAGGATTTTAA